TGATGTTACTAGAGAAATCCTTTAACAATATTTTCCTACTGTTTGAAAACAGTACATCATTCTAAAGAAATCCTTTAACAATATCTATCTACTGTTTGCAACTGTACATCATACTATAGAAATCCTTTAACAATATCTATCTACTGTTTGAAAACAGTACATCATTCTAAAGAAATCCTTTAACAATATTTATCTACTGTTTGAAAACAGTACATCATACTATAGAAATCCTTTAACAATATCTATCTACTGTTTGAAAACAGTACATCATTCTAAAGAAATCCTTTAACAATATTTATCTACTGTTTGAAACAGTTGATGTACTGTTTTCAAACAGTAGATAGATATTGTTAAAGGATTTCTCTAGTATGATGTACGGGTTTTCGTAATAAGAACTTCATGTATTCATACGTGCTTCAAGAATAGGAAAGAATGACAATTATCAAAATATTTTATAAACTTACATCTTGAATTAAGGCAAGACAAGCGATGGCAACTGTTGCTCCTATCATAGCCGCTAGGGTTCGATGTACCATCTATTTAAAAACAAAAACGTTAATATGATACTTCTATAGTTTGTTTTTCTTACGATACAATTAACTGAATAATAATAATAATAATAATAATCATAAAAACTGTTTCATAAATTTATTTGACACATTAAGCACTTGTATGAAACACTGGTAAGAAACAGAAAGGATCAAATATTAAATTCAATTAAAATTTATGTTTTTTATAAGTAAGTTATATTCTTTTTTTATGTTAATTTCATCAACAGTATTGGTTACGTTGTTTAATATATATATTAAATTAAAAAAAATAATAGACAATTTAAAGCACAATTATTTATTGTTGCAAAAACAAATATATTTTATTACATGTTTTAGTCACATTTGTTCAGGCAGTTATCACATAGCAAGATTTTTGTTTTCGCAATAATAAATAATTTGGGTTTAAATAGTGTGATACTTTAATTAATTAAACAACCACAAAATATATGAGTAAACAATTATATAGGTATATTTTTATTACTTCTAATCATTATTATGTACTTTTTATTATTAGGACTGTTTTCTAATGTTAGTTTAGTATACGGATTTAACTCTAACCTAAGTTTTTACGCTGACTAAACGTCGTGGGATGTTACTAGGATTACGGCCGAAAATATCGTTAACAACGAGGGTATCTAACTTATGAACCAATGAATTCTTATCATCACAAGTAATAATAATTATTAAATCATCCATATTTATTTCTGGGTTAATTTCAGTTTAGATCTATTTAGGTAGCTGTCTTTGATCAAAAGTTAACGAAAATTACAGAAATTTGTCACAACATTATTTTTAAATAAATTGGTATTTGTTAATATTTGCATTGTCTGTAAAATATATATGCGTCGCCCAAATCTATTGATTAAAAACGTTAAGAGAAAAGATTTCTTTAGGTTAATCTAAATATATATTTTTTAGCATAAACACTCTTTTAAGTTTTAGGTTTTAAACTTGTACTCACTTCGAAAATAATAAGAATATATAAACCAATAAGTACAGCTGCTGCCATAAATATGCCGTCTGTAGAGAGTTCGGTGAAGGAGGATACACTCACTGACATCGAAACGTCATTTTTCTCGCTAGTACTAATCATTAGTTGATATTTATGACTATAGAGGGAAGATACAAAAAAAATAACAATAATTCTACAGCTACGAAATTAATGATTACTTGAAAACAATTCATCATAACTGTTAAAAGAAAACGGTGAAAATAAAAATAATTATTTGTAGTTGATTATGCTAATTCAAACAACTACTATTTCAAGACAGAATAAAGTTTAAAAGACTGAATGAAAGAGGGTAAAACAATACATACTCATCTGACAAATCCTCTTGAGCAAATGTAAAAGTATGCTCGACAAGATTGGATCCGACTTCTGATCCATGTTCGACTGGAGCAATTGGTGCAATCCACGTAGGTTGTAGAGGCTGTAATAAAAGTATGATAAACACACTAATGAATAGCACGACGAATTTAACCAGATATACTATGTTGATATGATAAAATGTGTCTGTGTTTGTTTCATAACAAAGCCACATTGTGCTATGTAAATCCGTAGGCTTACCGCTGTTCCAATAGAAGACAAAATATTAATGAATAACATGATAAAGTCAATAAAACATGTTCTGACGAAATAATAGAGTATAGTAAAAATATTAATGAATAACATGATAAAGTCAATAAAACATGTTCTCATGAAATAATAGAGTATAGTAAAAATATTAATGAATAACATGATAAAGTCAATAAAACATGTTCTCATGAAATAATAGAGTATAGTAAAAATATTAATGAATAACATGATAAAGTCAATAAAACATGTTCTCATGAAATAATAGAGTATAGTAAAAATATTAATGAATAACATGATAAAGTCAATAAAACATGTTCTCATGAAATAATAGAGTATAGTAAAAATATTAATGA